TTTGTCGGTAAAATAATGTAGATATAATAAGCCAGCATAATATAATATTTTAGTTTAAGTATAGATAATTGACTACCTAGCTATAATTTAACTATTTTATATCATATATATAATATATATAACTTAGCCTCTGTATGGATTAGTTTTCTTGTGAACCTACAAATTTACAATCTATAAATTATAATTACTAATTAAAAATAAGTACCTACCAATATTATAAAATTAATAGGCCTGTCATCATTTTATAAATTGTACTTAATTAATATTAAAATGATTATTTTTGTTTGAATAATTATACTATATAATTATAAAGGAGTTTTTGGTTAGTAAAATTATGCTGTCAGCCGTTAGTTTTACTATATCAGTTTCAGGACAACTAAAGTTAATCATAAATTAGGGTTTAACAGTATTTTTGTAAACTAGCTATGAAGTACAGTAGGTAATAACGTAATATAGTGTTTTAACAAGGGTTGGGAACTTAGGGGTACATACTTATATAAGTAGTAACTATGAGTATGAGTTTCTACTATACTTACCTAGTTATGTTTAAAAATTAAATGTTAAACTCTTAAAATTTAAGAGTTTATTTTATGACCGCGACTATTTTATATTTTAAATTTTTTATGGATAATTTTAAATTTTCTAAAATTAAATAGAATTTGAGATTTGAGTTCATTAAAATTGAAGATCGATCAACTCCTTAATAATACTAACCAACTTATTAATAATGCATAATTCAATAACATTGTAATATATATTAAATAATTTATAATTTATTTTACCATCGTTTTGGTAACCCTGTTTAATCATCATTTATAAATTATAATATGTACTTAATAACAATTAACAAGTAAAAGTGCCTAAATGTAGGTATTCAACTCCAATGATTGGGTAATGGGTATTTCAGAGGCTTTTTACCTCTCCYGACACGACAAAATTTTACTTGTCGTGATTGCCATTATTTCTTTATAATTTGTAAACTATATTGGAATGATTTGTTATTGTTTTTAAACTAAAACATTATCACACATATAAATATTTGATACTCAAGTTTGATAGTTACAAATTACAATAAGTATTACACTTGTGAGTATGACAAAGGAAAACAACATAATATTTAGCCCATTAATAGTGTTATGAAATATGGATATGGTAATTATATTGGGTTTTTTTATTTAAATGCATGTTTATATGTAACGATTCTTTGTAAAATGTTATTAAATTTTCGCAAATGAGTATGCTGTAATTACCTATTATAGTTATGTCACTTTATAACTTTTACATAATAATCTGTGTTAAAAATTCAAAATAAAAAATGGGTAAGTAGGTAGATGTCACTCTGCTGTAAATAAAGTAGTTTTCAAGTGGATTACTGTAATGGATAGTATTAAATTAGAATTCAATGATATAATATCTTTGTAAACGAAAAACGTTTCTGAGCGGAGACGGTTTGTTTGTCTAAGATATTATACTACCTATATTAATTATATTGCTATTATTTAAAAAAAAAATAATCGGGTAAGTGGGTATCGCTCTGCTGTACATTAGAGGGTGTGGTGGACCTCTGACTAGGGATGGTTAAATTTGAATGCAATGATAGGTATCATTGTATACGAAAAACGGAAAAACGATTCTGAACGGAAATGATTTGTCAGTCTATATGATATAGGATATATTATATTTAAATATTGTCATATATTCTATTTTGAAACAAATGTTTTATTTTTCAATAAGGATGCATTTTGCATATTGCATGGTTAATCAATTTTTCCAAAAACATCGCACGTGGTTATCATAATTCATAATAACTTATGTCCTTATA